AGAGAGACAGAGACAGAGACAGAGGGGGTGGGGGGAGGGAGAGACAGACAAACAGACAGACAGACAGACAGACAGACAGACAGACAGACAGGCAGACAGACAGACAGACAGACAGACAGACAGACAGACAGACAGACAGACAGATTGGAAGAGGATTGGCATTTATATAATTTAACACTGGTGTAGAACATTTTATAGGCAAAACTTATATTTCCTTCCGGAACAGCACAGCTGTTTCTCTAACAGATGACGTGTCTCCATTACTTCTGTGACCAGTCTTGACATCAAAGAGTAATATTAACTGTAGAAACTTGTTAAACGGAGAAAATGCAGCTTTAGATGTGAACTAGCTGCTATTCCGTTACTGGATTTTAAAAAACCATTAAGATGTATGTCACCTGAACCCGTAGTAAGTAGTTTCCTTTTAATTCCCTTCTCCTCCCTCTAACCGTGTCCACCCCCCCCCCCCCCCCAACCTTAATAACAAAATCTATACCGACGGCAGTAGCTACTTAACAATGGCATCAACGATCTACCCATCATCCCCGCAGACTCCCCAGATTCTGATGCTGTCCGGGGTAGGACCTGCCAAACAGTTACGTGACCTTGGTATCCAGGTCAAGGCCGACCTTCCCGTGGGTCAGAACCTGCAGGATCACGTATTCTTCTACGTGCCGATCTCCATCTCGCAGGAAATCTCTGTCAAAGAGGGCGCCGTGGACACACCCTGGGCCTATCTGCAACACGCCCTCTTCCGGTCTGGCCCTCTGGGGAGACATGCGCAGGAGAACATGTTCTTTACCAGGTGAGATTTGACCCTAGGTGCCAGATATCTGAGGTGAGTTATAGTGTCAAGAGGCTAGTCCGGGATATCGGGAATGTGGAAAGTGTTTGTTCTTGGCATAATTTACTTATATTATTATATACATGTATAGCCAAGGTGAAATGATGGTGATGAAGCACTGCAAGTTACGACTTCACGCCCTTAAAAGATCGTACCGTCAGCTCAGTTGTTATCGTGCTGAACATTGTAAAGTTCTATCTGACATTGTTGGCCGTTTTGAGTTACTAAGACCATGAGGTCAGAAACCAAATTAATGTCCTATCTGTTTTATCAAAATCGTAAAATCATTCGCCGTCTTTTTCAATATACATACATAAATTAATGATTGCATTCGAATAAGCTTGATGTTGTGAAACTCAAATTTTTTTAAGCCAAATGTCTCAAAACAGGGCACTGAGCAGATAGAACTTTACAATTCTAGGGTAGCTAATGCGTGAGGGTATTTTCCTATTCTTGTCTGCCGAGGGGAAACCAATAGCTCAGGTTGCATCATGCTGGGCTTGGGTGCGGAAAAAGTGCTGTGGTTCCAACCGCTAATGGGGCATCTCGGAAGTGTTCAAAGGTCTCCACATAGGCCTACATAGCTCTTTTCTATCAAAGACGAACAATATACCTGGTTATAGATGTGTATATTATCTCAAGACAAGATGGACGTTGTATTCTAGTTTCTTTCTCACAGTGTTGGGAAAAGGGTGTCGTTGGTTTTTGTTGTTGTTGGGTTTTTTTATTGTTGTTATTTTGTTGTCTGTTATTTGTTTTTGTTTTTTGTTTGTATTTTTTGTTTTGTTTTGTTTTTGTTTTTGTTCGTTTTGTTTGTTTTTTTGTTGTTGCTGTTTTTGTGTTTGTTTTGTTTTTTTTAATGATTTTTTTGTGGTTTTTTTGTGGGGGGGGGGGTTTGGAGCCCCGAAGAGCGTGCTCTTCGCCAGGGGGGGGTACGAACGCAATAACCACCGCTGCTTTTGGGGTCATCATTTTCATAAATATCATGAGTCCCTGAATCTTCTGTTTCTCTCTCCCAGCCTGTCCGAGGAGACCAAGTCGATGGACTGGCCGGAGCTACAGATTCTCTTCTTCTCTCGCCGAATGAGTCGCCACAGCATGCGAGCCGTCAGTTATGACCCTGACCTCATAGACGAGCTCACACCTTTCCGCGAAGCCACCCAGAACGGCTGGATCTGCCGGCCCTCTCTGCTCCGTCCCCGCAGTGTGGGGAACCTCAGTCTGTCCAGCCGTGACCCCTTCGACGACCCCGTGATCCACGCCAACTATCTGGGCCGGCGAGAAGACATGGACGTATTGATGAAAGGCTTGGAAATTTGTCAGAAAGTCGTCAAGAGCAAAACCATGGCCCAGATCGGCTCGCGGCTGACGGAGAGCAAATCTATCAGCGTGTGCAGACAGCATAAGTTTGACAGCCCCGCCTACTGGGAGTGCTACATCCGGGCCACTCTGCTCACCATCTACCATCCGTCGGGGACGTGCAAAATGGGCGGGGCTAATGACGCAAGCAGGGTCGTAGACACTACTCTCCGTGTGAAGGGCGTGGCTGGGCTACGAGTGATTGACGCGTCAGTGATGCCCTTCATCGTGTCAGCCAATCCGCACGCGGGGATCCTCATGATGGCGGAGAAGATGGCTGACGTCATCAGGGGGCGGGCAGCTCTGTCGCCGGAAGATTTAGTATAGTATTGGTTTATGGGAAAATGGTAATTGGAGAGTCTGGCACGAGCGGATCGAGAATCTTCTTCTTCGGTGCCCATCGATATCGATAATGACTGGTTGGGATTTAGATCTAGTCAAAACTAGAATGATTGTGTCTTCAATACAGTACATATTTTAGACATTGGAAGTCTGATTGCGATAGTCTGCAATGTCTGGTTTCGTGAGGGATATAAGTACATTTCTTGTCTCCTCCTTTCCACTGTCGTCACTGTCGCCGGCCATTTTGGACAATCTATGTGGGCTTCTTCCTAGGTGGTGTCAACTACGTTACATTTATGTGTGTGACGTTTGAAGGTATAGAATACGTATTTAAATGAATGCATGAGAGTACACAAGTCTGCGTGCCATAGGCTACCTACACACCTGAGTGTTGGGAATCTTTTGTGATTTTCACATAGAAGAATAAAGTTTATATTGTTAGTTTTTCCATTCTTCTTATTCTTATTTTAACTCATGTATTTGAAAACTAAAATATACCCATCCCCTCCCCTCAGGCCTCCACACAGCCACATTGCTACCTTGGAATTGAAAAGTGCTATCAGATATTGTTAGCTGTTTTGAGCTACTTAGACGTAGCACAATGAAGTCAGAAGCCAAATTTTCTATCTGCTCTATCAAAATCGTCAGATTATTTTTGTAGTTTTGTTTTGCTTTCGTTGTTGTTGTTGTTGTTTTGTTTGGGGGTGGGGGTTTTACGAGGCTCCCAACAGCATAAGGTGATATGAGCGCGCGAGACACATAAAACTTTTAGTTTGGTAGGAATTTATTTTGAATTTTGCCCGGGAGGCGGCCGAAGCCTACACTCATCGATGTTTGACCACCAAGGGATATTTAACGTGCGCAACTTTGACACGGGACTTTCGAGAATTTGTGCCCTTATCCGAGAAGGCTATATCTATGTGGTAGATCTTACTTACCCTAAGATCAGGGGTGTGGCTGAAAGACAGCAGTAAGAAGAAGCCAAGCATTAGCAGTAGAGAGGCTGCAGAAAGAGGCAGGAGCCCACCACAGGAGGGGGCAAAGGG